CGGTCCCCGACCAAAAGGCCTGGCCAAGGTGGGACCATAGTCCGACTCTGACCCCCTTCTCCGACCGAGGATACGCCGAAACTCTGCTCGTTGCTCTTTCCCGATCGACACGGTTGGGACCGACTGGGAACGACTGACCGGGGACGCCTGCTCAGTGTGGGCCTGAGGAGCAGGCGGAGCAAATAAGGTAAGACGCTCAAGTCAACCACAATACCGAGACTGTAACCTGCCATGCCCTACGCACCTGTAGGACAATGCCATCGGGGCATGTCAGGCGAACACAGTAGAGCCTGCCAGACGCGTCAGAGTATAAATAGTATTGCGAGCGCCATCGTTTGTTGTACCAGGTGAATATGGTTGAGCCTGCCAGATGTGTCTGAACATAAACAGTATTGTGGGCGTCGATGACCATCCTGTACCCGATGGTGTGGGCAACAAGACTAGGCAGCACACGTATACACTCTCTCTTTTTCTCTGACTTGTAAGGCCATCCCATTCAACTATAAAAGGGGATGAGCTCTCTCCTAAAAGCCCCCTGTAAGGACGGTCGACTCGACAGCTCAATAGCTCTAGGACTCGACAGCTACACAGTCTACATGCTCTCAACAGCTGATAAGCTCAGACACACAGAGCATATGTTCTAATACTTAGCGCACGTTTGAGCATCCTTCACTCTCTTCCACTAGGTTCAGAGTCCGACCGGGCCTCTAACTCCCCCTTCTCATTCCTTACTCGTTTGTAACCCCACAGCAAACTTCGAGCACCTGGGCTTAGGAATAAAGTCACCGACCAACCTCAACTGGACGTAGGGCCTATTGCTTGAACCAGTATAAATCCTGTGTCATTGAGTGCTAGGCCACATCCGATCACAATGCACGGTAAAACTATAAATATTTACTTGTTGGTCACTTTTCGCACCGACAGTTGGTCTATTAACAGGTATGTTTAGATCCACTGGTACTAATTTTTAGCTGCTAACTATTAGCACTAGAGAATCCAAACATATCCTAAGTCGGATTAGATTGTCCTTCGTTCACACAACGGCTAATCCATATCCATCTTCCATCAGACTCCACAAGCTTCAAACCCTGCTTATTAGTGCTAATCTGTCTACTTGGCATCCCTAGCAAAGACTGCAGAAGGTTCAAATCTTGCTGATTAATGTTAATCAGCCTACTTGTCATCCCTAGCGAGAGAGATGGGTCCTTGTCAGTTCCCAGTTGCCACTTGGGTTGCTAGCATGCCATGTGTGCACAACCCAACTACACACTGATTGCAAAATTTTGTTATCAAGTAACACATATAGAGGACATTATAGTGCTAATCAGCCCTTAATCAAACATGAATCATATAATCTGCTCCTTAGGAATGTCAAAACAGCCAGCAGATAAATTTCAAATTTGGTCACTACCATTATCCTTTTTATTATACCCCTATTTATTTTTAGATCTTGACAGATCTCCGGGATTAAAGCCTTGTTTGGTTGGGCTGTGGCTTTTATAAAAGCTGCTGTGAGCTGTGACTTTTGCAAAAGCTAAAAGCCCATTTGGTTCAGCAGATGTGGCTTTTGAAAAAGCTACCGTCAGCTTCTCTCACTTACGAGCGGACCCCGCCTATCAGCCTCACCACATCCGTCTTCTTCCTCTGGACATATTTTGGCGTGTGTAGCAGAGTTGGGCGCGTGGGGGCTCGCTGGCCTAGGCTCGCCAGAGGGGCCGGGGCACGGCGGCCTGGGTCGCCGAAGGGGACACGACGGCGCACCGGGGCAGCGCTCCGGGAAGGGAGCCGGAGCAGCGACCGCTGGATTTGGAGGGAAAGGAGCTCGCACTGGCCATGGCAGGGGTATGGGAGGGGAAGGAGCTTGCGCCGGCCATGGGAGGGGCAGGGGAAGGAGCTCGCGCTGAAGACTGGGGGTCGCGCTGCTCCCGCCTGAGGCGCATCTCACCGGTGAATGGGGCCGCGTCGCCCTGGAGACGGGGACTGGACGGGGCCGCACCGTGCTGGAGAGGGAGGGACCGTTGCGGAGAAGCTGATCACCGGAGAGGGAGGGGTCGCCACCGGGGAAGCTTCTCACCAGAGAGGGAGAGGGGCAACCGCCGGAGATCGAGAGGGAGGAGCGGCGCGCCGCCCAGATGCGGGACGGGAACGCGGCGGAAGGGAAAGAAAAGTCACGAAGAAAGAAAAAACGAATCGTTACCTTTCGCAGGTGGATAATTTTTTCCCCAAGAACCAGCGAAAGCAGGAGATAAAGTGCTTTTTGGATTTGTACTACGACAAAAGCTGTTTTTGGACAAAAGCGCCTTTGATTTTTGGGCCCTTTGGTTGAGCTTTTGGCTTTTGGGGACAAAAGTCAGCCAAAAGCCGAACCAAACACCACTAAGAAACATACAAAAGCTACGTCAAAACCAAACAATTTTTTTAATCCTCTGGCTAATTAGGAGGGCTCTCCAATTTGCTGTTCTTGTCAGCAGATGTATCCACTTCATCCACAGTTCTAAACCCAAGCTCTGACATGTCTTGCTTCGCCATCAAGTTTCTGAGTATGATAAATAAATTCAGAGATTTTAGAACCACGCATAGAAACAATGATGTGAAATCATAAGGGAGAGAGCAGCAGAAAATAGAAAAAGAAACCAAAACTGCATCTTGCTAGCCAGCAAACATTTTTAACACCTTGTTATGAGCTCAGATACTGAATTTCAAAGATCAAAGATGGTAAGCGTTCAACCCAGTGCCAGCAAGAATTTCCAAGATAAATAACAAATGTTCTTTCTCAAGACAAATTAGTACACACACCAAAAGTAGGAGCTGGCCACTTGTGGTTGGCGAGCTGGTGGTTGCTTCACATAATCACCAACACTGACCTCGATGTGCACATTGCACATGTGTTGCACTTGCACCCGAGGATGCAAACCACTGAACATGCCAGGAGGCCAAACTATGTTGCCATAGGCTAATGTAGCAATAGCATTTACTTCACTCAACAACTGAAAAAGGGATCATAACATAGTGTAGCCTGGGGAGCATGTTCAATGAATCTCAAACTATTTGCCAACCAAAAAAAAAGATGCTGAAAGCATTTTAGTGCATGAAAGAGAACTAATTTTGACCATTGTCTAGTGTGGTTGGTTGGTCGTGGTCGTTTTGTTTCTTTTTATGAGTTTTGTGAGTGGTGTGTGTTGGGGAGGGGTTTTCCTAGCCTCCTCCTAGTTTTTGTACATTTTGTATGTACTTCTTTCTTAATGAGATGACATGCAGCTCTACTACGTTGCTCGACCCAAAAAAAATCAACCAAAAGGTCTATCTACAAACATGGATAGTTACCGATATTTTAACTTTATTAGTTCATACATATTAATACATTTGCACAGCTTCTTTGGAGCATAACTTTTGTAGAATGTAGCATGCTAAGTGCAAAAGCTAAACTATCCCTATTTTTTTAGTTCCAGGGACCCGTCTATTTTGAGTTTCGGTCAGGACAAATTCATGTTTAAAGCACTTCATCATAGCCACCCAGGCTTGCCCAAGATATTGCTTAGCAAGATACAGAGACCCCACCGAATACCACCGATACATCACATAAACATAACAGCGAAGATCACAGGAATTACCCTTAGGTTTAGACAATAATGTACCTATATCATGATAGCTTTTACAGATCTGAAATTAGCATATAGACAATAAGAACTAAGTATACTAACCTCTCCATCCGACATTCCAGATACTTTTTTTAGAACAGCCGACATTTTTTAGACTGGAATCCTGTAGATTTCAGGCAAGAAAGATAGTCTTTCTTCTCCTGTTTGAACAGTTACTATCACTACTCATGTAACAAGTATACAATGATAGTGGTAACTGATGAAGAAGTTATGTAGCCTTACCAAGTCGCACTCATGTAAGTGATCCAATGGGAATACACCTTTTTCAGGAGGTATAGGCCTCGCCCCCCTATTTCCGCCAAAAGCACCACCTGTTAAAACTCACAAAGTTATTATCGTCAAATAAATATATAATTAAAAAAAGTAAATATACATACGAAAGCGATTTTAGGAGCTTAACACATAGATCAATACACCTCATTACCGGCACTCATTTGCTAAAAAGTTCGGGTTCCGATTAGGATTAATCAAGAATAAAGGCCTCCAGGAATAAAGTCTGATCTCTAGCAATTGTGTGGACAATGCTCAGCACTGCAACAACACAAAAAAGGCACAGGTCAGCGATGCTAGTAGCATGTCTAGCATTAACGCAGTTCATTTTATAATAAGCGCATTATAATTGGTAAGTGCAGTGTACAAAATATATCAATTGAAAGTTTGGTTTGGCATCAGTAAATACCATGTCTGCCTATTTAAAACAATGTGCGGGCTGATTAGACAACCTTTTAGTGCACTACCAGAATATCAACAAGTATCACAAAGCTAAACTTTAGAATAGCCAATGCAAGCATTTTTTTACTGTTGTAGTTTGCAAGTTGCAACAACAAACAACCACCAGATGCATGAAGCTCTGAAGATGCATTTGAACAAGAGTGGCCAATGAACTGACATGCCTAGGGCGAATTGGTGAAATTGCACGCCTAGGGCCAGCATTTAATCGTCTAAATCACCCACAGGTTACATACATATAGACATCAAAAGCACTAAAAATCAAGAGGTGGGCATTGTGCAATTGAAGTTTTTAAGTAAATACAAAATCAAGAACAGGGGATTGTGTGGCTTTGGGTGCACGAGTGCAGTGGTAGAGCTGGTGAATTTCCTAGGGCCACCATTAAAAATCGTCTAAATCACCCACAGGTATACCGATTGACAACAATTGTACTAGAAATCAAGAAACTGGGGATTGTGGCATTGTGCAACTGAAGTTTAAAAGCAAATACGAATACTCAATTACCCAGATATCAAATACCTGCCTGTCCCGCGCGCAACTGGGCAACGTGTGTCCGCCTATCCACCTAGGCAACGCCGGCCGACAGGTGGCAGCCACACGATGGCACGAGAATGGCGCAAGGGTTTGCCCGCGCGGCCGAACCAATTTGCCCGCCTCCTGTGCCAATTCGCCGCGCCGCCCGCCTCGATTTGCTAGCTCCGGCGACCACCGACGCACTGGCCAGGCGAGAAGGAGAAAATTGGAATTTTGCCCTCATGCCAGGTGGGCTTCATCCAAATACCATCAAGTTTGTGGGATTCGCTGAAATACCCTTATAAAATGAGTCCAAAACGTTATAATGTCATTTTAAGATTTAAATCCACTTTTAATATTTTTCACCCAAAATTTTAGCCTGAACTGACCATTTTGCCCCTGAGCTCATTGACCCATCTCTCCCCCTCTCGTTCACTCACTCACGTCGCCTCCCCTTCCTCTCTCCCTCTCCCTCTCTCTCCCGAGGTGGCGGCACAGGGAGGCCGCCGCGTTCAGGGCCCGCCGCTGCGTCGCCACCTCGGGAGAGAGAGAGGGAGAGAGAGGAAGGGGAGGCGACGGGAGCGAGAGAACGAGAGGAGAGATGGGTCAATGAGCTCAGGGGCAAAATTGTCAGTTCAGGCTAAAATTTTGGGTGAAAAATATTAAAAGTGGATTTAAATCTCAAAATGACATTATAACATGTTAAACTTATTTCGTAAGGGTATTTCAGCGAAGCCCACAAACTTGATGGTATTTGGGCGAACCCCACCTGCCATGAGGGCAAAATTCCAATTTTCTCTCCCACCGCACATCAATCAAACCCTAAACCCTCTGCTCTTCCTCTCGCGCCGTCGCCATGTCGCCGCCGCCGCAGCCGCCACACACGGTGCCCCGAGAGACGGTGGCCGACGCCGTCGCCTCCCTCACCAAGTGGATGAAGAAACGCGCCGCGGAGGCGCGCCCGAACCTCCTCGCCGACGAGCGCGATAACCTTGTCGTCCTCCAGCTCTCGCTCCGCCGCGTCCCCGCCTCGCGCAGCACCAGGCCACGCCTCCTCCCGCTGCCGCATCCCGTCGTCGGGCACGACGGTGCCTCCGTCTGCGTCATCTCGGACGACCGCCCCAAGTCGTGGTCCCCTCCCTCCTTCGACCTCCTCCACGAGTCCAAGTCGCCCCACCGTCTCCCCGTCTCCGAGGCCACTCTCCACACTCCGCACGGACTACCGACCCTACGAGTCGCGGCGCCGCCTCGCGGCCTCCCACGACCTCTTCGTCGCCGACCGCGCCATCCTCCCGCTGCTGCCACGCGTCCTCGATAAGGCGTTCTACTCCACCAAGAAGGCTCCGATTGGAGTCGATTTCACCCGCGTCGGATGGCCAGAGCAGGTCCGCAAGGTTCTTGGCTCTGCTTTTCTGTAACTGCGGTCGGGGACCTGCTCGGGGATCAAGGTGGGTAGGCTGGACATGGAGGAAGAGGAGATCGTGGACAATGTGATGGCCGCGGTGGAGGCGGCTGTTGAGAAGGTGCCAAAGAAGTGGGCCAACGTTAGGGCGCTGCATCTGAAGGCTGTGGATTCAGTTGCCCTACCAATTTACCAGGTTGTGCCAGAGTTGGGTATGAAAATCGAGGTTCCTGAAATTGTTGGATCTGGGGAGGTCATTGATGCTGCAGCAGCGGAGACTCACGGGAAGAAGATTGACAAGAAGGCGGCAAATGCTGGTGCCAGTGGAAGAGTGGTATTTGCCAATATTAGTGCCAAGAGGAAGAGGAATAAGAATGAGCAGATTGAGGAGGATGTTGTGATGCAGGAAGAAGTCCAGGTGGAGACAGAGAAAAAGAAGAAGAGGAAGAGCACTGCGGTTTCTGCTGATGACAGCCAGAAGGTTGGCAAGAAGGGTAAAGAGAAGGACAAGCGTGGTTTGGAAAATGAAAATGAGGTGAAAGAAGCCAGTTTGGACAACGAGAAGATTAAAAAGGGGAAGACTGAGGAGGGGAAGAAAAAGAAGAAGAGCATGAAGCGTGATGGTGAAGTCGGTACTGATGAAATACAGGAAGATAAGAAGATCAAGGGGGAGAAATCGGATGGCAAGACCAAGAAGTTGAGGACCAGGGTAAGAGTATAATGTTACAGTTGATATTACTGTTGGAGGTGCCTGTTCAAATAGTCGATCGACAATGTTCTTCATATTGGCCGGCTGGTTATTCAAAGCATCAATGAATTGAGTTAGTTAATTGTTATCAACTGGAAGCATTGTCAGTGTTCCATGTTGTATCGGTAGGCTTCACTTGAGAAGGCCACCTATCACTTATACCGCAGAACTTGGTCCCTCAGAGATTTCTTCTGAAGTTGTTTCTTCAGGTTTTGTTAGCTTAGTAGCTCAAGCCTTTGCGTTATAGAGGTATGGCAAAACTGTTTCTTGCTAAGACTATGTACTTCGCTCGACTCGCAACAATTTTGTGTCGATTTTCTAAGAATATGCTTATGTCGTCCTGCCCTCTCTGAAGCCATCTGTCTCCTTAATAACGATGGTTCTATCGGGGATTTTAGGCTGCATTATTTACATTATCAGACTTGTACGCATTTTCTCTCACCATGTCACTGTTGTCCAGATTTAAGCCAGTTATGTTTATCCTCTATACACGTACTATGAACTGTTATGGTCTGTCATCACGATGATTGATGGTATTCTCAGTTTCCCTGGGATCACGGCAATTGTGTTACATTATAGTTTGCAGGATCTTAGAGTTCATTCATTCATGTTGTGCATCCTTTCAAGAAAAATCTTAACATCAGCTTTTTCGTATTACCAGTCATCTACTTTGTTCGCATACTGGATGGAAAAACAGCATATGTGTTCTGCAACTCTATTCCCTCATCACGGCCTGTGCTTTCCTCTTGCTAAATCTGATGAACCTTTTTGGTTTGAGGTTTTGAGCGTCTGTGGCATAATTGATCATAAATTTGCCATTTCATTCCTTGTATGTATCGGTGATTCTGAACATCTGAAGTGATGTGAAGTTGACGCAATGACGCTCCGAGATGCCTCATTCCCTCTGAATTGATCATAAATTTGCCGTTTCATTCCTTGTACCGATGCTTCTGAACATCCTCTGTTGAGACTTGAGATGGCAGTTGCTTTAGCTTTGGGTTCCCCGTACCTAAATAGTCATCGGATCCACTAATCTTGCACAATGATAAAAGAACACTGTTGTCATCGTAGACTGGCTATTACGATGAGTGGTGCTGTTATTCTTTTTAGGAGTACTTATTATGTGATTATGCCAAAGAAACATGATAGCCAATAAATGGGCTGGTTCGAAATTTTGTATACTCTGGACGTTCGGCTGTACTGCTTTTCGTTTGTTTCAGCTTGTTCTCTCTCACATAATACTATTTAACCATCCAAAATAATCCAAAATTCACTATTGCACCCACCAGCCGAACGAGCTGAGTACTACATGCGTACTGTACTACTATTTGACTAGATGGCGCTAGCTAGGTCTGCCCGAGATGCGTCAGTAGCTTCAAACGTCAAGCCAACGAGTCATTGTTCGGCTATCAACACACCGCCGCCGGCACTCGTGTCGACTGCACCTGCCTTGCCGACGCCAGTCGCCAGATGCCTAGCCGTGAGAGCGGAGTCAACACTCCCACGACGTGCTCGCGTCGCGCCATTTCTGCCAGCCACCCAACGCTGCAGCATGGATGTCTGCTGTGCGCGCCGCAGACGGAGTCTCGCGTCGCGCCATTTCTGCCAGCCACCCAACGCCGCAGCATGGATGTTCCACATTAATTTGCGCGCCGCAGTATTAAATGTTGTATACAGGTTTAGTTGAAAATCGGACGCTTTTTGCAGTTAATCCGCGATTGATATTTATTGGGAGGCGACTCGATACTATTCATCATGTTCAAAAAACTTTCAATCTAAACGAGGCCCGGGGAGGCGACGGTGCGAGTGAAGAGGCCAACCTCCCAGACCCAGTCCCATACGCGATCGAGATTCGAGAAGAAGCCGCTGTTGGCGGTGACGATAAGCTCAGAGCAAGCACGACTGGCGCGCAGGCCCCGCGCGTCGGGCTTGGACGCCGCCCGCTGTTGGCGGGCCTCCCTCCCGTTCCAGAAATACTGGGGGGCAGCAGCACGCGCCCCCACGCATGGCGTGCCACGGCTCACGGCCGCGCCCCCCACGCGGCGCCCATGCGCGCGCCCTCCCGTGTGGTCGGCCTCGGGTGCCTCGCGCGCGTCATCGGTGAGTCGGTGACTGGATAAGCCCATTCGGCCGGGCTGCAGCTTCTGTGTCTCCTCCATGTGTCTCCACACTGCACGAAACCAAACCATCTGCGTCCTTAGTTTTTACTTTTTACATAGCGTGTTCGTGCGTTGTTATAGATAACTAATAATTTATACTAAAATATACTGATCCCACGATAAAATAACAATATTGTTAAATTAAATATCAACGTTAAAGTAATATTTAATCAAAAATCAAAGTTTATAAATTTAACACAGTCACGGAGTGCGCAGCGTTGCAGGCTCACAAACTCTAGAGCAGGCTCACAAACTCTAGAGCTTTTAGAGATTGGATCGAATCCAACTTAGAGCCTCGGAACCCTGTATCTTTTCCTGGACAGGCTTCACTTCGGATGCGCCGGTAGCAATATCAACGATCTCCAGTCGATGGACCAAGTCGTATGGATCCCTATACAATGGCTCAGACATGTAGATTTTGTTCTCTTTATACTTGGATACATTTGTTCCACTGAAGCTTTCATTGAAATGTTTAGACACGAACAGTGTCTGATCACCGATGTCCCTCACCCTGGACCACTTCGGCGTACGGTCGTGGAGGTTGCACTTGTAGATCGCGCTGCTGTAGGTGAAGCTTTGTGTCTTGTGGAACGTGCTCACTATGGCACCCACAATGTGTAGCTCACTGTTTGATTCCAGGTAGCTGCGGTGGCAGAGCCCCGCAGGTGGCGACAGCGATGGCGGCAACGTCGCGGTTGGAGTAGCGCCGGCGGTGTTGCTGCTGCAGACAGAGATTTCTCCGGTGCAGTCGATCGCCAAGAACTTGTCTTGGCAGTGGACGATGGACCCCATGGAGAACTCCAGTTTTGTGTCGAGCAGCGTTCATGCGCTGTCGACTCCAACCCGACAGAACGCGACCTCCGTGGAGCACCCAAGCATGGTCATGACCACGCACTCGCGGCCGGCGACGCACGCCGAGAGCGTGAAACCAAATGAAAAGAGAAAAAAGCTATCCCTTTTGCAAATGCAAAGAGGAAAAGTAATTAAATGTAGGTAGATTTGGCAAGATTCTGAGAAATGCAAAGAGGTTCCCTTTGTCTTAATTCTCTTTTCTTCTGTGTTAATTCTCTTTCCTTTTGCTCGTTGCCATGTATGCTGGTGCATACAAACATGCAATGTGTATATGGATAGCACAATAATTTTTTACTTCCTATTTTACCGTGATTCCTCTATCACATGACAGGCAATATTCAATCAAAGAGAATGGCACGATTAATCAGTAATTAAGATGTCGTGGGATCGCAGGCGTGGACAGACGGACTAACCAAAATAAATGTCGCACCAAAAAATATCCACACTTTATTCTTTTTAGTTATAGAAGAAATAATCTCGCATGGTGACTAAAAATATGCGGGATAGCCGGACGGACATAAACCAACACTGATACTTCCTCCGTACTAAAAAAAAATAAAATCGTTTTGGACAAGGCTTGAGTCAAATATTAGGAATATAAATTATGATAACTTTTAAGTTGTTGAGTTTGAAAATGTGAAAGCTATATAAATAGATTTATCTTAAAAAATACTTTCATAAAAATATACATATATCACTTTTTATAAATATTTTTATAAAAACAAGAGTCAAATAATACTTTAGAGGTCGTGTCGCTCTCAAAACGATTTTATTTTTTTAGTACGAAGAAAGTACAGCTGACGGATATATGACTGTGTGGTTGTAAAAAACCTGAGGGCCCATGGCCCAGCCAGGTCCTAGAGTGTGGAGACAGATGGAGACACGTGGAGGAGACACAAAGCTGCACCCATTCGGCCGTGTTTAGTTGAGGAAACTTTGGATTTTGGGACTACTGTAGCATTTTCGTTTTTATTTGGTAAATAGTGTTTAAACATGGACTAATTAGGCTCAAAACGTTCGTCTCGTAATTTTCCACCAAACTATGCAATTAGTTTTTTTTGTCTACATTTAATACTCCATGCACGAGCCGCAAACATTCGATATGATGGGTACCGTAGCACTTTTTAGGATTTTGGGTTGCAACTAAACATGGGCTTGATTCGGGTCGCATATCCTCTCGCCTGCTTTGGATAAGCCCATTTGGAACTTGGAAGGTTGAGCCTCTGGGGCGTTCGCTCTCCTGCTTTAATTTCGCCGACCTGGGACGCTTGGCAGATACGAGGAAATGGCGCGGCGGGTTTCCTAGCAGTGTTCAGGGAGCTCCTCCTGCTGCTCTGGCCTCTGGGGCTGGGACGGAGAGGTACGTCGGCCTTGTTTCTTGTACGTACGTGCGATGTGCACGTGGGGCGCAGTGTACTTGTCAACTGCATCCGGCCCAAGTGTTTGTGGAAATGCCTGGGTGTGTGATTGACGGTTTTGCTTAGGGCTTTGTTTGGCTACAACTCGTCTCTAACTCAATCCACGTGTGTTCAATTGCATTAAGGTGAAAATTAATTAATTTTTCATTTCAATTCAACTCAATACACGTGGATCGAGGTGAATGTGGTATGAATTAAGATGGATTAGATGCAACCAAACAAGGTCTTAAGAGTTGGCTGATGCACCTTGTTTTCATTGCCTCATCACGTCACCTTGATTCCTTAGTCTCATTTGATCCGGGGATTGAAGTTAGTTACTACTTATTTGTTGGGCCCTTGCCCGCAGTAATGTATGCCTCGCCTTCATCAACTTGTTATAGCTTTTCGGTGAAACCTCCACTGTTTTTTCCTTTTTGAGGGTGTTAGATCCTGGAAGGGGTAGCTATGATGCAATTGGGCAATGGCATTATGGCAATGCTTTTCCGCTTGCAATGGGCATAATTGTTGTTAGTTTAAACACCAATTGCACAATATTAACTTGCCTCAAAGTTTATTTAAAAAAAACAAAAACAAAAATCATGTATGATCGGTCGGTGGTTAACAATTGGTTGCTTGTACTAGATTTTCGTGCACAGCCATGTTGACAGTGTGGATATTATCCCCTGTCCTACCGAGATGTTGATCTTCTCTTGCGTATTTGCGTTGTATACACATAAAAGAATAATAGCATGTGGTCTACTATGCAGGTAATTTATGGCGATAGCATCTCTTATGTATGCTGTGTCCATGAGTCCGGGTGTTGATACATGCTGAGCTCTTGATGTGATTTTTTTTTCTTTTGTTAGGCCAAAAATGTACCATCACTGGTGATGTTCTCCTGTATCATCTGCTTGGGGACATAGATGGATGAATATTTTTCACGCTTCCTAAACCATGGTTGGCAGCTAAGAGAATACTTGACAGAATTAATAGGTACCAGAACCAACAACTTGAGCTTGTACGTCTTAGTTCACAAAACTACATGGGATTTGAGCATACTGATATTTTAGAGCACCTAGCCATTTTGTTTCTTTTTCTGATTCTGAATTACAAGTTCCTTTATATTTACATGAACAACTAGTTTGATGCTTGACTACTTTCTGTTAGATAGTACATGGTTTTCATTGACTTGGAGAAGACTTATGACAATATACCAAGAAATGTTATGTGGTGGACTTTGGACAAACATAAAGTCCCATCAAAGTACGTGACTCTCATTAAGGACATGTACAACAATGTTGTGACTAGTGTTCGAACAAACGATGGTAACACAGATTACTTACCTATTAAAATTGGACTTCATCAAGGGTCAGCCTTAAGTCCGTATCTCTTTGCCTTAGTAATGGATGAGGTTACCAGGAACATACAAAGGGATATCCCTTGGTGTATGTTGTTCGCTGATGATGTAGTGTTAGTGGACGAAAGCCAGGCGGGAGTAAATAGGAAACTAGAGTTATGGCGGCAGACCCTTGAGTCTAAATGTTTTAGATTGAGCAGAATTAAAACCGAATACATGAGATGCGACTTTTAAAGGCTTTGTTGTTGTTGTACATGAGATGCGACTTTGGCGGAGCTGCACAGGAGGAGGGAGATGTGAGTTTGGAAGGTCAAGTAATCCTTTCGGTATCTGGGATCGATGCTACAGAGAGATAGAGATATTGATGCGGACGTTAGCCATAGAATCAAAGCAAGGTGGATCAAGTGGCGACAAGCTTCTAACATTCTCTGTGACAAGAGGGTGCCACAAAAAGCTAAAATGCAAGTTCTATAGAACGGCGATTAGACCGGCTATGTTGTATGGAGCAGAATGTTGGCCTACAAAGATTGGACATGTTCAACAACTGAGTGTTGCAGAAATGCGTATGTTGCGATGGATTTGTGGTCACACAAGAATAGACCGAGTTCGAAACGATGATATACATGATCGCCTAGGGGCAGCACCAATTGAAGAAAAGCTTGTCCAACATCGGTTGAGGTAGTTTGGCCATGTCCAAAGAGACCTCCAGAGGCACCAATACATTGTAGAGTCCTAAACCAAGCTAATAATATGAGAAGAGGTAGAGGAAGACCGAAATTGACATGTGGAGGCAATAAAAAGAGATTTGAAAGATTGAGATGTAGCTAGAGATCTATATTTGAATAGGAGTGCTTGGAAAACAGCTATTAAAGTGTCTGAACCGTGACTTGGGGCTCTTGGTGGGTTTCAACTCTAGCCTACCCTAATTTGCTTGGGACTAAAAGGCTATATTGTTGTTGTTGTTGCTGCTGCTGCTTACATGATGCAATATAGCATAGATATAATTTTACAAGGCTGTCATAATTGAGGTCTTCATTACTATAGGTTGTTGTACTTAAGGTTGTAGATCTCAAGTCTCATTATTATCCTTAAAAACAAGATATGCAGACCATGTTCAGTGTTCGCAGAGCCAATGTTCTAAAATAAATTATCTATTTTATTGTCATTGTGAAAAAAAGTTGTTGACGTGCCTGAACCATGCATAGAGATCTTTGTTTGGATAGGAGTGCTTGGAAAGAAGCTATTGACGTCCATGAACCGTGACTATGGGCTCATGTTGGGTTTCAACTCTAGCCTACCCCAACTTATTTGGGACTAAAAGACTTTGTTGTTGTTGTTGTTGCTGCTGCAGCAGCAGCAACATTGTGGTTAGAATTTCCGAGGCTTTAACTGGATAAGACGTGTTGACGAGACAAATCCTTCTCGAAACTAGAGAAGCCTGAAATTTGATGTTTTTGTTGTTTTTCTTTCTTTCTTTTTTATGTGTTTGTCTTTATCCTAGCAGAAAATTGGCTTCGGTCCGTTGATTGGATTCCTCAATGTCTTGGAGTCCAATTCTCTGCTAGCCATGGAGGATCATTGACTGGCACCACAGGATATCTTCATGAAGGGGCATTTGCATTATCTGTTAGTAATACTACTACAAAAGAACAGACTACAAAAGGAACATCTGAAGGCACAATTTTCAGAAAAGGATTTTCCAGTATTGATGAAAGGTTCAGTTTTCTTATAGCTTCAACAACTAGTAAGCCGATTGCATCCATTGTTGTCTTGTGTCCCACATTTACTGTGCAACTGTTTGTGTTGTTAGATCATATGTCAGGTCTTCCTATCTTTTACATGGCTTCAGGCTGGTACGAAGATTGGCATTCAGTGTGCGAGATCAGTGGATTCTGTTTTCAAATGAAGTGCATGCCAAACTAACCAGGTTAGTTAATGTCTTCTCTGTTCAGACCTCTATATTTGCTTACATGTTGCATCTTGTGGTCTGAGGACTCCGCGTAGGTTGCAGCCCAGTTTTCTTTGTTCTAATTAGTTCTAAGATGTCATTTTTTTATCACAGGATCTTACATCGTTTCTGGACAACACTACAGGGATCTTGTGAAGATATAGGATGGTTGCAAAGAACTCGGGCATCACTTTGTTCGGTTGATGGGACAGGTCGATTCAAGGAGATTTTGCATGAGATCAGGTGAATTTTTTGTGCCCAGTTTTAGTGAACTCTGACACACAAAAAAAAGAAAAACATTACACACTACCACTTTTTTTGCAGAAAGTATTTGTAGCATGCTTCCAAATACTTTAGTGTGAAAATTTGAGCATAAACTACCAATTAAGTTAGAAATGGCATGCACTGCCTTACGTTAATCAGTTCTGAGAAGGCCGACAATCCCGTTCGGCTTACCCAAAAAAGGCACTATTCAGCTTGTTTTTTCAGCCGGAACAGTGTTTGTCTCTCACAATATTTCAGCCGAAACAGTGTTTTTCAGCCAAATTCAGCCAGCCGAACGGGTATGTTTTAGAAATGGCATGCACTGCCTGCCTGATACACCGGTTTACTTATTTATTCCTGGTGAGATATCTTTCTCAACGTTGCTAGTTTCTGGGGATGATCCTTAAATGCCATTGCTTACAAATTATCCCGTTTGTACTCCTTTATGCAGGCCTTTTTAGCAACCACAGTCCACTTTACTTCACCAATACGAAACGGTTCTTTTCAAAAATGGGATTGGCTTGCCATATTGCAAAAATTCATAGCGAGGTAATTGAGCTGAAGGGTGGCATGCAAGAGTTTTTTCCTAGTGCTAGGTTTCATTCTTGCTTCATATTATGTCCTGAAGCAGCTGCTGCTTGTACTAGTATTTCGTACTGTTATTCCTTTCACTTACCATTTGCTTTGTCTAGGCATCAGTGGAGAATAACGCGTGGGAACTGAAACGATACATTGAGGAGCTCTACTGGGGATCTGGTAAGCAGGTTCTGCTCCTTGGCCATAGCAAAGGTGGAGTTGATGCAGCTGCAGCTCTTTCGTTGTACTGGTCTGAGCTCAAGGGTAAGGTTGCTGGCCTGGCGTTGGTTCAGAGCCCATATGGTGGCACTCCAGTCGCCTCCGATATCCTTCAAGAAGGCCAGATTGCTGATAAGGAGACAAGGAGGATCATGGAGCTCATCGTATGCAAACTAATAAAGGTCCCTATCATGAACTGTTTCTCGGTCAAATCTTTTGTTCACAAAATTGTTCATTCATATCTCATCCATTTCAGTCTTCAAAACAAATGAACAATTGCAGGGTGACATCAGGGCCTTGGAGGACCTCACATATGCTAAGAGAAAGGACTTCATCTCCAAGCACAAACTCCCCATCGATGAGCTGCCGATCATCTCCTTCCACACCGAAGCCAGCACCGCGCCCACAGTGCTCGCGTCACTGACCCGTGTCGCCCAAGCGGAGCTCCTCCCATGGCTTCCCCTGCCACGGTTCTTCCTATCTACATCCGACTTTGTCGAGTCAATGCTCGCCTCTCTGAAGGTCCCCGTGGTCGCGCCTGTGTCGGCAGCCATGGCGGTCACAGCCCTCCACCTGCGTCTGCGCTATGGGGAGAGGAGTGACGGGCTGGTGACACGGCGCGACGCCGAGGTACCTGGGTCAGTGGTGTTGAGGCCCGAGAGAAGGCTGGACCATGCGTGGATGGTTTACTCCACGCTGAAGATGGGCAGCGCTGAGGCCGATGCAAGTGAGATGTGCGAGGCTCTGCTGGCCATGCTCGTTGAGATTGGCAAGAAGAAATTTCGCTGAAACACTGCCTTCTCGAGAGTTCCTAGTGAACAGTAGAGAGAGGCTACTTTTCTCCTTTTTGGAGTGATTTTCTCCTTTTTCGTGTAATCTCCGATCACAAAAGGTGTCGGATCTTGTGTTCTGCTCCAATCCCAAGCTACCTGTCCGCATCTCTTGTTGCTGCGGCTGGGATTTGGGAGCTTCCAGAGTGCTTTTGGGTTTTCTCAAGAAGCTAAGTTAAAGTTCATCAGATCCGGTTCCCTTCAGCTACTCAGGTTTGTCCATCCTCTCTTTATCGCGACTCGGGATGATTAAGGGGCGAGCCTAGCCTCGCTGCCCGTCCTTGGTTTGCGATACAGGAGAGGCCAGATTAACCTGAGTCATTCTTTGCTGTGGTGAAGTGGCAAGAAGATTGGGATTTGTGTGTATTTTATCTGGATTGTCTTTCAGCTTGCATGGAGCCTGGTAAAAACAGATTTCTTTGGAAGGCACGAATCAGGGTATAGGTGAAGGATTTGAGAACAAATAAACTTGTGGAGATGGTGTGACCGAATTATTCGGGCGCTTGAAGCTTACTCCTGAAGAAAGCAAAGTGTTGACAGTGGATGATGATGTGGAGGAAGGTCTCGCGACGTCAGATTGTGCCATTGTTGGTAAGGTCTTATCCTATAGTGTTCTCCACTTACAGACTATCATGGGGGCGCTACGTCCTGCTTGGGGAAATCCAAAAGGCCTAGTTGCCAGATCAGTGGGAGAGAACTTATTCATTACGGAATTTGGGTCTAGACAGAATTTGGAACGTGTGCTTGATGGATCACCTTGGAATGTTAGTAAGCGAGCTGTGCTTATAAAAAGATATGATCCAAATCAGAGGCCCACAGATATTGTCTTTAATCTTTTGCCGATCTGGGTGAGAATTATGAATCTCCCTTTTGGTCTTATGAATGGTAAACGGGGGGCTTTTATATTTTTACCATTATAAAGATTGGCACTCATCCGAATATCACTCTTAGGATGATACTTACAACTTTACCAGATGAGAGAAGTTTTAATTTTAGATTTACCACTTTTGCGCATGTGGCATGCCACGTCAGCTCGACACGCTGACGCCAAGTTAGCATGGGCACGTGAAATGTTCTTGCTACCCCTGCCTTGCTCCTCTCTCTCCATCTCCGACAATCGGGTCCCGCAGCACCTGTCACTGTCAGGTGGGCCCCACTAGTCAGCTTCGTCTTCCAGCTCGTGGCCGGTTCTCCACGGTTGCTACTCTTCGATCCCGTGGGCAAGAGGACGGAGGATGGAGCAGCACGCAGCAGTTAGCGGAGGAGGAGGCGTGGCCACGTGGGGGATGGTCGGACGGAGCTCGGAGCAGCATGGCGTGAGGAAGCCGAGGAGGAGGCGCGCGAGCAGCAGCTCTACCGCGGCCTCGCTGGCGCGGTGCGAGGAGCTCCGACGCGGCCTCGCCGGCACGGGCGCGAGCAGCTCCCCCGTGGCCTCGTCGGCGCACGTGCGAGCAGCAGCTCCGCCGCGGCCTTGCGGGCACGCATGCGAGCAACTCCGTCGCGGCCTCACGAGCGCGCGGAGAGGGAGGCCGAGGTGGTGGCTCACCCGTTGGGGAGCTCGCATGGGGAGCAGCTGCTCCGGCGAGCTAGGCGTGAAGGCCGTGTCGAGCCTGTGGTGCGTGCCACATCCAGGCGCTGGGCGATGGAGCTCTGGCCATGGCGAGAGGCGCTCGGTGGTGCTCCTGCGCGCGGACGGAGGAGCGTGGCCTGTCTGGCTATCTCCCATCCAGCTGACTAGTGGGGCCCACCTGGCAGTGACAGGTGCCGCGGGACCCAGCTGTCGGGGATGGAGAGAGAGGAGCAAGGCAGGGGTAGCAACAACATTTCACGTGCTCATGCTGACTAGGCGCCAGCGTGTCGAGCTAGCATGGCATGTCACACGCGCAAAAGTGGTAAATCTAAAACTAAAACTTCTCTCATCTGGTAAAGTTGTAGGTGTCATCTTAAGAGTGATATTCGGATGAGTGTCGATCTTTATAATGGTAAAAATGTAAAAGCCCCGTAAATGGGGAGGTCAGCTAGCAGGTACGATTGGAGAAGTTGAAAAATTAAAGTTAGATGACCAAGGAAGGGCGTGGGAACCTTACCTACGAGCAAAGGTCGCAATTGATGTTTCAAAACCTCTTCGACGTTGTGTCGGAATTTTCTCAACACGACGACAAACTAACGAATGGTATGATGTGCAGTATGAAAAGCTACCTCACTTTTGCTTTTCTTGTGGAATTATAGGGCATTCGTCTATTGAATGTCCTAGCCCAGCAGCTCGTGATAACAAAGGCTTACTGCCATATGGAGAGAATCTTCGGGTCCCTGATGACAAGAAGAAAAAGCAAACTGACGATAAACAGGGTCATGCCTCACCATCAAGTGGCCGCAACGCCAATTCGAGAAGTCGATATGATGGTACTGAAACAAATTCAGCTCAACATATTTCTGTTAGTTTGGAGAATGAAAGGGATTTAAATAATAAATCTTTGAACAAACCAAGTGAAATTGCTGGAAGGGACAACTTAATTCTTGAGAATGATCAAATGGATATACAGGGCAGGAAACTCAAACAGAATGAGACTACAGAGTATGATATTGACTCTTCCCAATTAATGCATCAAATTTCGGTGAATGATCTGGCAATTGTACCTCTTGTCCCTGGATCACAGCCCACGTTTGAAGAACCTGACACGGGTTCTGATGATCTAGAACAGAAAAAGAAGATGAAGACAGAAGAAAATTTTCCCATGGAATTATCGGCGGTGGCTGGCTTCCAGCCCCGCCGACAGCAATGATTCTCTTATGTTGGAACTGTCGAGGATTAGGCCGGGACTCGGCAGTTGGAGAGCTTCGCTGGTTGGTGAAGCAATACCGTCCCTCCCTCCTATTTCTTTCGGAAACCAAAATGAGGGATGATAGTGTGCGAAAATTTATGTGGTCGCTGGGCTTCTCAGGTTGTTTGCAGTTAACAGCGAAGGAAGAAGTGGAGGTTTGGTTTTGTTTTGGACTGATTCCAGCAAGATATCACTGAAAGGTTACTGTAAAAACTTTATTGATGTGAGCATAACACAAGAAGATGGCCTTACGTGGAGAGCTACTTTTGTATATGGTGAACCAAAATTGGAACTGCGCCATGTGTTTTGGGATCGCATTAGATTTCTTCATGCTCAATGGGAGGGTCCTTGGATTTGTGCTGGAGATTTCAATGGAGTGCTAAATGGTCATGAACACAAGGGAAGATGTGACAGAAGTAGTACTCAGATGAACTTATTCCGCGAATGCTTAGAAGATTGTGAACCGATTGATCTGGGATATATTGGGCCAAAGTTTACATGGAATAATAGATAGGCAGGGATTAATAATGTAAGGGTTCGTCTGGACAGAGCAGTAGCAAATAGTCACTTTATTCAACTGTTTGATGAATACCAGGTAGAAAATGTGGTAACATCTTCCTCAGATCATTATGCAATTAAAATAGTACTTGGGGAACATGGTCAGGGATCACGGAGTATACATGCTGTTGAACAATTCAGATGAGGATGCTTGGTCTAGAGCCCCAGATTATAAGGATGCAGTGGAACAATTCTGGAAAGAAGGATATAATGATCCTATAAATCTTCAATCCACATGGAACAACTTGCAAAATCTGGCTAGTTCACTGAAACAATGGAGCAGAGATTCCTTTGGGTCTGTCCGTAAGGAGATCAAGAAGCTTCAAAGTCGCTTGTCGAGGCTGTCTCTATCAAGCACCACAACAGATTTTTCACAGGAAAGAAAAAAATATCGAACAAAGGCTCTGTGAGCTGTTCGAAAGGGAGGAAATCATGGCTCGACAGCGATCAAGAGCATCTGCCAAAGTGGGGGATCGGAACACAAATTTTTTTCATGCAAGAGCATCTGCCCGCAGAAGAAATAACAAAATAAGATATTTAGTACAAGAAGATGGTACAAAATGTGAAGATCAAGAAGCTATTAAACGTATGGCTATAGATTTCTACTCAAATTTGTTCTCTTCTGAACCAAATGCTAATATTGAAGCCATCCTTGATGCAATTCCTACCAAAGTGGATCAAAATATAAATGAAGAATTATGCAAACCATATACTGATGAGGAGATCAAAAAGGCATTGTTTCAAATGGGTCCAACAAAAGCTCCAGGCCCAGATGGATTTCCAGCTCTTTTTTATCAACGACATTGGGATTTATTGCACAAAGAAATATGTCAAGCAGTAAGTTTTCTATCTGAAGATGAGATTCCAGAAGGTTTATGCGACACAACTATTGTGCTCATTCCCAAAATGCCTAGACCAGAACATCTAAACAATTTCAGACCAATCAGTCTATGTAGTGTTATTTATAAAATAGCCTCAAAAGTTCTATCTAATCGTTTGAATCTTTTCCTTCCGGATATATTTCTCAAGAGCAAAGTGCTTTTGTGCCAGGAAGGTTAATCACAGATAATGTGTTGATCGCATATGAATGCCTACACACAGTAAGGAGACAGCGATCAAAGACACCCTTCTTTGCTTTGAAAATTGATATGATGAAAGCTTATGATAGGGTGGAATGGGCTTATTTACGTGGTGTATTACAGAAGCTCGGTTTTCATGATTCATGGATATCTACAGTTATGCGGTGTGTTTCTTCGGTGCGATATGCCATAAGGATTAATGGTGAATTAACTCAAACCTTTTATCCAACAAGAGGCATTTGGCAAGGAGATCCAATCAGTCCATATCTTTTCCTCTTGTGCGCTGAAGGGTTATCATGCTTATTAAAAAAGAAAGAACAAGAAGGCTCTTTGAAAGGATTAAGGAATAGAATTTTAGAGCCATCCATCTTTTATTCGCAGATGACAGCATCTTCTTTACAAGGGGGGATAAACGGAGTGTCTCAACACTGAAATCAGTACTCCAGATTTATAGTGAAGGGTCTGGACAGCGAGTCAATTTACAGAAGTCATCCATCTTCTTTGGGAATCGATGTCTTGATGATTTAAAAGAAAGAGTAATGAATGAGCTGAACATCTACAATGCGGCACTGCAGTCTACTTATTTAGGTATGCCGACTTGTATTAAAAGATAAAAAATCAGCACCTTTATTTTCCTGCTAGAAAGAATGTGGAAAAGAGTTTATGGATGGAGCGATAAATCGTTATCTAGAGCTGGCAAAGAAATTTTGCTGAAATCAGTTGTCCAAGCTATCCCTATATATATCATGAGTTGCTTCCAAATACCAGTTGGCATTTGTGATAAAATGAGATCAATCATCTCTAATTATTGGTGGGGCATCGAGAATGGAAACAAGAAATTGCATTGGCACTCCTGGGAATGGCTGACTGCACCAAAAGCATTGGGAGGAATGGGCTTTAGAGATATGGAATTATTTAATCAAGCACTTCTAGCAAAGCAATGTTGGCGGCTACTTACTGTACCTGACTCTTTATGTGCTAGGGTGCTTAAAAATAGATACTTTCCTAATTCCTCTTTTTGGGAGGCAAGTTGCACTCGTAATGCCTCATACACCTGGAGAAGCTTGAATTTTGGGAAGAAACTTTTGATGAATGGAATTGTATGGAGAGTTGGTAATGGAAAAACAATACCTTTATCCGGTGTTCATTGGATACCAGGAGTTTTACAACAATTTGCCCAACCAATCATACCACTACCATAAGATCTGAAGGTGGGATTTTCTAATTGATGAACGACAACGACAATGGAATGAGGAGTTAGTGCAGGCATGCTACTCGGAGGATACTGCTAATGCGATACTAAAAATTCCTTTAAGTCGTAATATGTGTGAAGACTCTGTGGCTTGGGAAAACACCACAGAAGGTATTTTTACTGTTAAATCAGCATATATGTTGGCAAAATCTAAAAAAAATCATTTGTTTTCCAGCACCAATGGCAAGGGAGGAACATCCAATATTCAACAAGTCACTAGTGACTAGAAACATATTTGGAAGATACATGCTCCTGAGAAAATGAAAATAGTCTTGTGGAGGTAGGCTCATGATTGTTTACCTACAGGACAACAACTCTTAAGCAGGTATATTTGTACCACTGATGCTTGCTACTTTTGTGGACAGGTAGAAACGGTGGCTCATGCCTTCATCAAATGTCAATATATGGAAGAAATATGGCGTGAAATGAAGAAATGGTGTGGTATAAATTGTAAACTTATGCCGTTTATTTCCCCAAAGCAGTGGTTATGGGAGTTTTTGGCTAATGCATCTGACGAAGAGGCTACTATCTTGACTTTAATTATCTGGCATATTTGGGATAATAGGAATGGTGTTAGAAATGGGGAAAATATTGTTCATCCATTTCGGATAGTTGAAAAAATAAAAGCATATATTCAAGTGGTAATGCATTGCGATGATGTTCCTGATTTTCCAACAGGTGTGAGCCTAATGCATCTACCAAACGATGAGTTCCACCGCCGGAAGATTGGGTTAAGGCAAATGTTGATGCTGCTGTTTTCAGTGAATCAGAAAGAATGGGAGCTGGATGTGTGATACGGGACCACAATGGAAATTTCTTGGCTGCAACAAACCAAGTGATTTGCAGAGTCTCTGAACCAGAAATGGCTGAAGCTTTGGCTGTCCGATGGGCTTTAAAGTTCATCTGTGATCAACACTTCAAGAAAGTGGTAATTGCTTCGGACTGCTTAAACTTGGTACGAAAGCTCATGCAAAAAAGTCTGGATAGGTCTCATATAGGAGCAATCGTCCAAGACATCAAGATGATGAGAAACAACTTTGATGATATTTCTTTTGTCTTTGTTAGTCGAAATTGTAATGAGGTAGCTCATGTATTAGCTAAGTCGGCTAACCAGACGGCTGGTTTGATGTGTCTAAATGAAGCCCCGGAGTCCATTCGGGCTTTACTTTGTAATGATCTTCTAAGGTAATGAAAGTGCCGTCTGTTTTCAACAAAAAAAGAAATTTCGCTGACCATCTGGTCATCTGGAGTTCTCGATGGTTTTGGTTATATATGCACAAATGTGTCGAACTAGATGGAACTTACGAGTAGCATAGCACAGTAGCAGTGTAGCACTATCTGATGTCACACACACTAAAAATGATAGATATCTTAGAATATTACAGTCTTTACTGGGAACAGTGGAAATTAGATTTATTTCCTTTGTTGAAAGCAATTATACTGTGGCAACTGGCAATATGCAATTTGTTTTTGACGAACCATTGCTGCTTTGGCTTGTAATGTTCTTCACACTTCACATTTTAATTTAGTTCTGTTTGGAATGGTTTTGGTCTTTACACACGTCTTTATTTTAGTAGGAGAGAGTCACTTTGCCATACCGATTGCCAAATAAAGCCTTAACCCTCTTTGGCAGGGTTTGGGTTTCTCAGAGAACGGAAAATGTAGAGAAAGTCACGTTTTGGTGTTGTCGGCTTCTGACCAAAAATAGCTTTAGCTTCAACGATTTTCGTTTGGTTTTGGCTTTAGAAGCTGTTCTCATGTGTGCACGCTTGGATAGTTTTTATTACTGAAAAAGAGGGTTTCGGTAATTTCACACCAATATGTGATATATCTTTGTACCCTCAGGTTATTCAATTGCCTATTCTTTGAGTACGAAGTTGGTAAATAATTCACTCGTAATAAACACACAATCTCAGGATACGCATTTTTGAGCCTTTACTTAGTCTGTTCTCCCTTCACTCTTTACATCATGTAGATCAATAAGGGCTTGTCTGGTTGGAGTCTTGTGTGACTTGTCTAGTAAAAAGTATTATTTGAGACTCGCAAATATTATTTGGGACTCATCTAGAAGGTTGATGAGTTTTGTCTGGTGAGGCAAAACCAATAGAAGTTTATTTTGTTACAAGTCCATGTCGAAAAATGCTTATACGAGAGGGAAGACTCACTTTTGTATTGTCTATACATGATTAATGTACAAGTATTCTATTTTGTTGATATGTTCATGTAATTTTAGTTTCACATGAAAGTAGATAAGAATCATCCACCTGATTGGCTAAAAACATAGTAATGAAAGAGTTAAAAGAGAAAAACTATTGCTACGTGACTTTGCCTCATAGTCCATCAAACTAAGTTAACTAATCATGGTAATTAGGCTAGGCAATGGTCTTGCCAGAGCTAGGAGTTGGATTTCATCAGCTTGGATGAGTAAGGACCTCTCTCTCTCTCTCTCTCTCTCTCTGGCTCCATGCTAGTGCTGCTACATTAGCTAGTTCAGGACGAGCGAGAGCCACGACTTATACTTGAAATTTTTACTTGGATTAGGCATGGCTCATATTGGACGCTTGTGATTAGGATTGATTTCTAGTCAGGTAATGTATGGTAGGTTTCCATCAAAATAGGCCCTAAATATAGGACTACAGACAAATGTATCACATGTAAAATCTTCTTCACCTATAATAAAGAGTAAAAAGTCAGAATTCTGATGCAAAATTGCTTCAAGGTTTGAACCAAACAAGATCTAAGTTTTGGGTCCAAAACATCACTCCAGCAGGGCCCTACTACAAACCTCACCCAAATCCTCTCAGACCCAATTCCTGTTGGCCCAACACCCTGGCCCCCATCCTACGCTGCGGCCGTTTCCTCCCCGCGCTCGTACGGATGTGGCCTCGCCCGTCTCCCTCCGATGTCGATATCCACCGGCGAGCTCCCTCCTCCACCCCAACCTCCACCGGCGGCCTCCCTCCATCGATGGGCCTCGCCCCCTCCCCTCCTGCGAGCACAACGGCTCCTCCCTCCGTTCCGGTAGGGCCCGCGTGGTCGTGGCCACTTGGAGGCGTGGATTCGGCGACGTCGAGGACGGTCTCCGGTCGCTCGCACGCCGAGGACAACTCCTCTATCGGGCGCGGTTCCTCCTCGATGCTTCCCCGACGAGCGGAGCTCCGCCTCGACGTTGCGACCCCGCCGCGAGCCCGGCGACGCCGAGGACGGCTCTTCCTGGTCGCTCGCACGTCGAGGACAGCTCCTCCATCGGGCGTGGTCCCTCGACGTTGCGACCCCGCGAGCCGTGACTTTGTCGTCCCCGATCCGTGACTCCACTTCCCCTTGACTATAGCTTAGTTGACAGAGAGGATGACGAGCGGGTCCCTTTCGTCAGTGTCTACCTAAAGGAATTTGAGGGCCTTCATTTGGGTGCTATTGCTGGAGTGGAAGCACAAATTTAGGCCAACAAAAAATAGGGGTGGGCACCCAAATCAAAAAATAGGAGCCTTGATTTGGGGTCTACTGCTGGAGTTGCTCTAAGAGCATCTCCAGTAGTTCTCAATAATCTTTCCCCAATATACATGTATTAGGGTAGCCCAATATCATCTTTTATCAATATTGGGGGAGTTGCTGCAGTAGTACCCCAATATATCTCCCCTAATAGGTGGGTCTCACAGGAATATAAGAGAAAATATGGCTGAAAATTGGTAGATGGGATGGTCCCTATGGTATTGTGGGAGTTGTATCTCCCCTTTCTTTGAGGGGAGATGATGAAAATTTTGGTGGCCACAAAAAAAAGATGTATTGGAAAAACTGTCGGAACAAGAAAAAACATAGCTATCCCCAATATGATAGTTTTATGGGGATAAGGAAAGATATTGGGAACTGCGAGAGATGCTCTAAGACTGTCTCCAACAACTGTTACCCAAAATATAATACACATTCCACATTTGGGTAGCGCTACAAGCAAATGGTTCTCCAACAATAAGACCTAAAAGAGAACCCTTTCTATAAATGAGTCTCCAGAAGAGAAGATACTCAAATTTGGATTATAGATCTTAGGACACTAAAATGAATCTTTCATATAGATATTCTCTTGGAGATCTATTTTAAGTTTGGGTCTCTTTATACTGTTTGGTTGGGTGGCTAAGTCTCCCAAGGCTCTAGAAAACGGAAATAAATTGGGTGGAGCCTGGGTGCACCGGCTTTTTCGTGCGACCTGCGTAGATGGCTGACACGTGAACAAACAACACAATCAAACGGCCGTTGGTTTCAGTCGTTTAGCATCCCAATCATGCATGCACATCGACTAAGAGGGTGTTTGATTCTTTAGTCGCTCCTAAAATTTATGTCACATCAAATATTTAGAGGTTAATAAAGAGCATTAAATATAAATTAATTACAAAACCAATTACATAGATAAGCTAATTTCCGAGACGAATTTTTTAAGCCTAATTAATCTATTATTAGCATATGTTTACTGTAGCACCACGTTGTCAAATCATAGACTAATTAGGTTTAAAAGATTCGTCTCGTAAATTAGTCACAAGTTGTGCAATTAATTTCGTAATTAATCTATATTTAATACTCTATACATGTATCTAAATATTCGATGTGACAGAAATTTTAGAAGGTGGGGAAGAAACCTAACAGGCCCTAAGTTAACGCGGATAACATGCACATGAAGTAAGACGTCACATTTTCTTCACCGGCCACGTGTCAAACATCCATGATGGGGTCTCACGGAAAAGCTGGTGCACCCAAGGTCAACCCAATTTATAGTGCTAGAAAACAAGATGGAGATCCGTTTTTCCCGGGGGCTTGGCTAAGCCCACGTCTGAAGTGTTGTCACCGCCCACGGTCGCTCTGCTCCGCCGCTCGCGGTCGCGTGAGCTCCGCAGCTCGCTGCTGCGCTCTGCTCCGCCGCTCCAATCACGTCGCCCGCGGTCGTGCTCTGCTCCGCCGCTCCGCCGCCCGCGGTGATTGGATCCCCAGCACCGAAGATGCTGTCGGCGTGGACGGAGTCGAGGTTCGGAACCTGGCGGCGATAGAGGCGAGGTGCGCGTCGAGGTCCTCCCAGCGGAACCAGGCGGCGGTCATGGAGCTGGAGCAGCACATCAACGGCTCGGGCAACCTCGACCCATCAGGCGCCGGCGCGGTGGTCACGCTCAAGGACGGCACCAAGGTCTGGGCGCCCAAAGCGTCCCGCATCGCCTGCGAGGACGAGCCGCGGCCCATGCTTCTGCGCGAGTGGAGCCTCTTCGACTCCATGCTCTACGGCCTCAAGAAGCTCAAGCTGCTTCTCGCCCATCTGGTGTCCCTCTCCCGAAAGTAGGGAACCCATCAAATCTGGGTTTGGGATTTGGAGTAATATTCGTTTTAAGTTAGACTGAAACTACTATTAGCTAATTTGATACGAGAGAAAAATACTGATTATTGATTGAAAAGTACGTCTTATCAGAAAAAGAAAAAATCTGTGCTATTCCAGTATGGTACCTGCGATTCAGTTGTTATTCAGTTTCGTCAGTTTCAGTGCGTCTTCGTCAGTTTCAGTGCGCCTAGCTTATTCAGTTTCGTCAGCAGCAGGCCTCGTTTAAATGCAGGGTGTGAAGTTTTAGGGCGTCTCGGTGTTACGAGGATGTCACGTAAGGTATTTGGATACTAATAAAAAACAAATTACAGAATTCGTCAGTAATCCGCGAGACAAATTTATTAAGCCTAATTAATTCGTTATTAATACATGTGCTACTGTAGCACTATATTGTCAAATCATGGACTAATTAGGTTTAAAAGATTCGTCTCGCAAATTAGTCACAAACCGTGTAATTAGTTATTTTTAGTCTATATTTAATACTCCGCACATGTGTAAAACATTCGATGGGATAGGGAATAAACTTTAAGGAAAGAAACTAAACAAGGCGTTAGTCTAGATTAGCTGATTCAGTTGTTAGCTCGTTTGAGTGCATCTTCATCACTGCCGGCAGACTCTGATTAAGGGGGTGTTTGGTTCCTACAGAAAAATTTTAGGCCCTGTCCTATCGGATGTTTGGACACATGTATGAAGTATTAAATATAGACGAAAAAATAACTAATTGCACAGATTGTGGCTAATTTGCGAGACGAATTTTTTAAGCCTAATTAGTCCATGATTTGACAATGTTGTGCTACAGTAAATATGTGATAACGGCGGATTAATTAGGCTTAATAAATTCGTCTCGTAAATTAGTCTCAATCTATGTAATTAGTTTTATAATTAACTCATATTTAGTTCTCCTAAATAGTATCCGAACGTCCGATGTGACATGGACTAAAATTTAGTCCAGGAAACCAAACACCCCCTAAGAGTGTTCCAAACACCGCTCGTCGTGCTACTACAGTCCAGGATGCTTACCACCTATTCGACAAAATCCCTTAAAGAGGGTAGAATAACCAATTCAAAAAAGAGATGACTCTATGCAAAATAAACCAAGCAACCAAACATACCTGCGCTAGTCAGGCTTAAATAACACAGACAACCAAAGAACTAGAAGTTGGTTTGGCAGAAGCAGGCTAAAGCTGTCCTAGGATTCTAATTAGCTTAGGCCTTGTTTAGATTGCTTCAAAGTTCCAAGTTTTTTCACTCTCTCTCCATCACATCAATTTTTGGACGCATATATGGAGCATTAAATGTAGGTAAAAAAAAACTAATTGTACAGTTTGGTTGTAAATCACGAGACGAATCTTTTAAGCCTAGTTAGTCCATGATCGAACAAAGTTTATCAAATACAAACAAAAACATGCTACATTGTTCAAATTACAAAAATTTACAATCTAAACGAGGCCTTATAAATAAGAGTAGACCAAACAGCCAAAGCTCGGGAAGTCTCGGTGTCGTCTCCTGCAAGGCTGCAAGCAAACCTTTCGCCCCCCTAAAACCCTCGTCAAAACCGCTGCACACCGAATATTTCCATTTCTACCCTTTCCTCGCCTCCGCCCCCTGCCGCCGCCGCCGTCGCCGCAGCCATGGCGTCGCGGCGCTGCCTCATGCGCCTCCTCTCGAGCCGCCTCGTTCCTCAGAGATCTCAACCTCTTGCACCGGTCTCGATCGCGACCGGAACTCTGACCTCTTTGTCCGAGCCCCTCGGTCCCCCAGCTCCCCGGGCCCTCGCCTCCCCCCTACTGTACTACCCCTCGCGCTGCCACTTCGCGACCCGCTCCTCCGGTGACGAGGACGACGACGAATACGAAGAAGAGCACTACGACGAGGAGGGGAGCGAGGGAGAATGGGGGGACGAGGAGGAGGCGGTGGCGGCGAAGAAACCCTGCGGGAAGACGGAAGAGGAGAAGGTAGCGGAGGCGGCGGAGATCGGCTACAAGGTGTTGGGACCGCTCGGGGCTGACGAGAAACCCTTCAAGCCCTACGAGCCCGTCTTCGTTGTCGTACAGGTCTGCTCCATTTGTCACCAGTCTTTCGATTTTTGAGGCTGGGGTTTGGATCTTGTGCGTGATTGCGTGTGATTATTTCTGCCTGCAGATCGGCTCGCATCAATTCAAGGTGAGCAATGGCGACTCCATCTTCACGGAGAGGTTGAAGTTCTGTGATGTGAATGACAAGGTAAGAACTGCGCTCATAGTGCGACCTGACTTTTGTGTGATTTGGGCATTTGACTGTAATTAGTTAATGAGGCTGTGACTTGTGTGATTAATAGTTGTGATGTTTGAGGTTGCCTAGTATGGAAGCTTTATGTTCTTTCCTGTTTCATGTATTATCTTCATATATAGTTAAATTGCAATAAGATAATGTTGCTATACTTGATCGTGTGATGGTATTTAGAATTTCCTGAACTTGTAATGGAACCCCAGTGGCCAGTGATATAACTCTTTTTATCTACTAGGGCTTGGACCAGTAATTCTGCTCAAATTTATGTTGAAACTGAGCCTTGGACCATAGGTTCTAGTTATTTAATCTAGGAGAATGTATTTTTAGTCTCATATTTTCTTCTGGATTCCTAGATCAAGATTGTAGCATCTTGAGTTGTGATTAGTGGATTGAGAAGGATTATTGTTCAGGTCTTGTTGTTTTAGTTGGATATATGTAGTATGTCGGTATGTGTTTTTCATGATATTTTCTTTAGTTTATTAAAAACTACAAGTTAAGAAGCGCAATGTACTATGTAGCTTCATGAATTCCTTTTATGATGCTACCAACTAGCATAGGTCTCTTTGTGGCATCCTGTGTATTTTATTATATTCATGATTTGCTGATGGTGCTGTTGTCTGATTGAGTTTACTGCAGTTGGTCTTAAACCGAGTTCTCATGCTTGGTTCGCAAACTCAAACAGTTATTGGGAGGCCAATACTACCTGATGCTACTGTTCATGCTGTTGTAGAAGAACACGTAAGATGAACAGTTGAACCACTAATTTCTTGACCTCTGTTTTTTTGTTGCTAGAACATTTTTCACTATTGAAATTTATGAAATGATTACTAAACTCAGTTTTATCAAAACAAGTCAATAAGTGTATCCACTCGATTAGTGGAATTTTGGAATGCAAAATTTCAGGCACTTTCTGTGTATCAAAACAATTCAGGCCCTTTCTGTGTATCTGTGCCAATTTCAGATTTATTTGAGTGTATTTATTTTAGTAATTTGGTTGGTATGCATGCCTATCTACTTACTTAGTAGTGACAATTTAAACCTACTGAGTACTGATTTTGATGCATTTGAAGTGGCCTAGCTGATAGGACTATAGGAGTAGTCACATTGACAGCGCTGGAGAAGCCTTATATCCTTATTTCAGTTGTGATAATCATCTGCATTTTGTACACATTTTCTAGTGTACTGTTATGTTTGTATTACTTGATGATTATATTTTGTAACATGTAAATCGTGCATCTCATTCTTTATTTAATCAAGTCTTGTCATGAAGGCATGTTCAAGTATACAACAACAATAAAGCCTTTAAGTCCCAAACAAGTTGGGGTAGACTAGAGTTGAAACCCAGCAGAAGCAATCAAGGTTCAGGCACGTGAATAGCTGTTTTCCAAGCACTCCTATCGAAGGCTAAGTCTTTGGGTATATTCCATCCTTTCAAGTCTCCTTTTATTGCATGTACCCAAGTCAACTTCGGTCTTCCTCTGCCTCTCTTCACGTTACTATCCTGGCTTAGGATTCCACTACGCACCGGTGCCTCTGGAGGTCTCCGTTGGACATGTCCAAACCATCTTAACCGGTGTTGAACAAGCTTTTCTTCAATTGGTGCTACCCCTAATTTATCACGTATATCATCGTTCTGAACTCGATCCCTTCTTGTATGACCGCAAATCCAACGCAACATACGCATTTCCGCGACACTTATCTGTTGAACATGTCGTCTTTTCGTAGGCCAACATTCTGCACTATACAACATAGCAGGTCTAATCGCCGTCCTATAAAACTTGCCTTTTAGCTTTTGTGGTACCCTTTTGTTACATAGGACACCAGATGCTTGGCGCCACTTCATCCACCCTGCTTTGATTCTATGGCTAACATCTTCATCAATATCCCCGTCTCTCTGTAGCATTGATCCTAAATATCGAAAGGTATCCTTCCTAGGCACTACTTGACCTTCCAAACTAATATATTCCTCCTCCCGAGTAGTAGTGCCGAAGTCACATTTCATATACTCAGTTGTAGTTCTACTGAGTCTAAAACCTTTGGACTCCAAAGTCTCCTGCTATAACTCCAGTTTCTGTTTCACTCATGTCCGGCTTTTCATCAACTAGCACTACATCGTCTGCGAAAAGCATACACCAAGGGATGTCCCCTTGTATGTCCCTTGTGACCTCATTCATCACCAAGGCAAACAGATAAGGGCTCAAAGCTGACTCTTGATGTAGTCCTATCCTAATCGGGAAGTCATCCGTGTCTCCATCACTTGTTCGAACACTAGTCACAACATTGTTGTACATGTTCTTAATGAGCCCGACGTACTTCGTTGGGACTTTATGTTTGTCCAAAGCCCACCACATAACATTCCTTGGTATTTTATCATAAGGCATGTTCAAGTATAGAGTGGTAAAATGTTGTTGTGTATTTACTGAACAGAAATTTACAATTTACTAGATATTTGCTGAGGACTACCTATCTGATCGGTTGATGACCATGTTGGGTTGCATCATTCTTATGCTTATAAACATCTGATGAGCTTTTGTTATAGTAATCCCCCCGTCCCAAAATAAATCAATTCCTAGAATCCGTGCAAGTCAAACTATCTTAAGTTTGACTAACTTTATAGGAAAGAGTAACAACATATATGACATAAAATGAGGATATTATGAAAATATATTTTACGGTATATCTAATGATACTAATTTGATGTCATAAATCTTGACGGGGTTTTTCTAGAAATTCGGTCAAAGTTTTAAAAATTGACTTAAGACAACTCTAGGAATCTATTTATTCAGGGACAGAGGGAGTACTGGTTATAGATTTTGCTGACACCACATGCTTATGTAAATCTATAAACCATGGTTTTCTATTTTTTTAATAATTGCCAAAGATAGAAGTATGGAAAATATATCTTTCAATCTTTATGTCAACATGCACATATTGTCTTGGCATTACCTTGCCAGAGCTCATTTTGATTCAATTGTTTGCTGTGACATAATGATGTACTAATTTGAGTTCAATTTCTCATGATAATCTTGTCAGGCCTTAGATGCAAAAGTGATCATATTCAAGAAGAAACGGAGAAAAAATTACCGCCGAACAAAGGGCCATCGTCAGGTACATTTTATGCTGTGTTTAGTTTCACTAGTATACACTGTACCCCAAAGAAACCATGAATGTTTCCTCGGTACTTGCCTTGTCCATGTGGATCATGTAGTTCTTACTGTATGCTGTAACCTTTTACAGGAGTTGACAAAACTGAGAATAACCAACATTGAAGGAATAGATAAGCCAGAGACTGCTGCTGTTGCTGCCTAAATTCAGGGCAAAGAGATAGTAACAGCGCCTTTTGTTTATGGCAGCAAGGCCTGCCTAGGCAACCCTTTTGGCCGATCTTATAAGTTCAGTCAGATTTTGATAGTCAATACCAGTGAAATGTCGCTTCTTTTCTTGTTAATTCAAAGGTTAGAAGCTGTCAGCATTGGTACACGGGTACAGTATCCGACATGATGCCAATGTACTGAGCAGTTTGGGTGGTGTGGATCGGCCGTTGTAGTTTACAGTGACACTTCATTTTTTGTTAGCTTTTCTGTGCACATCCTTTATATATGTGTTCTGAAAGTCTGATACATCAGTTCAATGTTGACTGCTAGAGTGTAATAATGAAACAGCGGTGCTTCGTTTCTGCCTGGTCCGATGTCTGAAACTGTAAGCCCTGGCTTATGCAAATGTAGCTGCCAGCATTACGCTTGCTTGCACTCTTGGTATCGCGAGAATTTGCAGCTTGTAACATCCAGGGTGCACTTTTTGCTTGTGGTAAATTGCCACAGCTTCCTAGTGCCGATGTACCAGAAGTTCAGAACTGAAAGTGTCCAGTTCCAATACTAATCTGAAACACTTTGTCATGCTCCGATACTAACTGAAACACTAGTTGCTCTGTCGGAGTAAACTGTTCGCTCGCCGTTGATAGTAACTGGATGTCACCCAGGGCCTGTTAAGTTCATCCAAAATACCAACTTTGACATTATGTAAAAAGAAGATTTCTCGTCACATTAAACTTGTGGTACATGTATGGAGTACTAAATGTTGATGAAATAAAAAACTAATTGCACAGTTTGGTTGTACTTTTATACGAGACGAACGTTTTGAGTCTAATTAGTCAATGTTTGGACAATTATTACCAAATAAAAACGAACAAGCACTGTAGCTACAGTGCTTCGCGAAATCAGTCGACGCCAACTTGGTGACCAACTAAACGTGGCCCCAGTTCCGTGGCTTCCGTCAGTTGCGCTTCTGCAGTCGACTAGATCCGTTTTGATTGAAATTGCACTTTGTGTCGCCTCCAGTCACTTTCTGTATGGTAATTATTATTTACTCCTAAAGAAAAAAATTACTAATCCTTCTTCACCTCTCACGTTCCGTCGAGTCAACGTAGCAGCTAGAGGCCGCGTGTTTAATTATTCATTGGGCTGATTGTTTTTTTTTTTTTAAAAAAAAATTCTTCACACTGGCATCCACTTTGCAAATCGCAAGGCATTATTTACGTGATGATGCAGGTGGCACTAGCAGCACCAAAGAATACCTTTTTATTTATTCATGCTTAGATTAATCGTTGTTGAGTGTGATAGTTTTACTAGTCTGCAGGTTAATGGATCCGATTTTAATCGCTAGTGCTGCTGGTGTGCTTGGTGATCGCTGCGGCGGATTGGACCTGTGGATGTGGACTCCTTTTGGTGCCATTTCGTGTGGTCGAGGTTGCAAACTTGTGCTTAGCTTCACAACTTTTAGATAGCGTGTCTGTGCGTTGTTACGGGACAACTAAATTTTTATACTAAAAATAAGTTGATCGTATGATAAGATAATAATACTGTAAAATTAAGTACCTACATTAAAGTTACATTTAATCAAAAAGCAAAGTTCATAAAATTAACACAGTCACGAAGAGCACGGCATCACAGACTCACAAACTCTACTGTATAGACCTTTCCATGCGTTTCAATGAGAACAAATAATACCCTGATAACTATGAAAGAAAAATATGTGAGATCAACTTTCACAGATTCAAGTAGCCCACATCTTTAAATACATGGAAACAGCAAACGCTAAGAAATGTGCGATATATATTAAAACTTCCACAGACAGTAGCCCACATCTTTAAATACATGGAAACAACCAACGTTAAGAAATGTCCAATATATATGGTTTAGCAACTCTTCCTATAACCCCCGTGCACCTGCGTGGGCTAGTGAGCTATAATAACATATATGTGTGCTCCTCAAACAGTAGAATACAACACATATATTAGAAACTATACTCCGATGTGTTGGCGTCCTTCATCTTATTGACACTTGAGGGCGTTGAAGGTCCCCATCTCATCCTGCCACATAGAAACAGAAAAAGGATTTATTAAAGTTTAGTTCACATCAACCACTTGCAAGAAAAATGCACAGTGAGGGCTGAAAACCATATCCACTAACCATAACAAAGCCATGCAAGCATACGGTCTAGATCATTCCAGCCCGCGCAGGTCCAACGTCCTATAGGAGAAGTTTAGTAGTATCTTCAGGCAGTAGAATAGATTCACTTAATTTCGGTTTTAGAAGAAGCACAAAATGAAATGTAATATTTTGATTGAATATGTTGCCACAAATCTAGTGTAATTTTTCAAGTACTAACATGCCACTAACTAAAAAAATACATTTGCCAACTGATCCCTTGTAGGACACATAATTAATAAGAAAGAGAAGTGCTTAGCTCAAGATACAATAAATATAAGCTTGTTCGGGAGGCCGTAAACGATCGTGGATTATTTACTGCTGGCTGGTTTGGTGTGAGAGAAAAACATTGTTCTGGCTGAAAATTTACGATCGTTTACGACCAAGCGAACATGCTGATATATGTTTGGCAGCATTATGAATCAGGAGGTCTAGGCAACAACAAAAAACACCAATAGGTTAGAATTGATTTACATATTCAGAAATGTACAAAAGAGTACAGAGAGTTTTTCACAGTTTAAGTGAATAAATTGTTCATGATTAAGAGCTTTCATTACAGGGTCTCAAATATAAATACTATGTAGTAAAGCTAAAACATTATTTTCTGATTCAAAGATTAAGGTACCCTAAATATTCTCTGAAGTTTAATAGAAAATTAGATCTGCAAGTTTAGACAGACAACTTATACACTGCAAAAGTCCCAAACCTTAAATAGCCATGAGAGTGCATTATGTATTTATGAAAATCTTTAATGAATCTCAACAACCATGTACTTAATATTTTCTGTACGATATCCATTAAAGTCTTCTAAAATAAATGGCCTAAAACTAAAATGATGAGAAACACACCTAACAATGGAACTTAATCCTACAAATATAGATATTGACAAATAAGCATTGCTTATGAGGAAGTGTCCAGGGAAGAATGGTTTGCACACAACATACCCCAAAAATAAGAACTGATATGTCCAGACAACACCATGCATTTGTCACAATAAAATTGGCAGGCCATAGGAAGAAACCAAAAGCCACAAGTATGAGCATTGAACCGCCAATATCCTACCATGATGTTATGTAAAGTATTACTGGAATTAGGTACATGAAGAAGAAATATAAACGTCTAACATGTGGGGGCCACCAGAGCTCACCTGGGCACTCAACAATTTCTTTGCTGAAACCATACCTGGAAAAACATAACTGATAATCATTTATCTAGTATAGACTAATAAAGGGTTGCTTACCATTGTACAATTAGTTACCATCAATCCATCACAATATTTCATTTCCTAATTTTCACGTTGTCGGTGCAGTAGCTCACAGAATATAGAATGGGAGGGTGTATTAACTTGATTATTCTCATATGAGGGATCGCACGCAGGCCGACGCAGGCCGGTCCTCAATCACGCAGGCCACGGAGTCGGTAGGGAGGAGAGGAAGGAGGAACCTGAGGCCAAATTTGCAGAGAAGGGAGAGAGATGAGCGCGGCAGTGGATCACGACATGTAACATCAGTTAATCCAGGATGTTCAATATACTGAAACTTACAGGCAGTATGTCAATGCAGCTAAAAACTAAAACAAGCAGTTTGTTGCCTAACATTTTATACCATAATCAGAGTGCATATTTTCTTTACTACATTCTGTGTCACATGGCCTATTTGTAAAGCACAAGCTTCCCATGTCTAAAATTCCTAGGTAATTTCTATCATAAGATACCTCATGAGCACTTGGACCATTAAAGACAGGTATTCAACTAAATTACCATGGTGTCATGAACAAAAGAAAAGCAATAATATTTGTCATGAGCACTTAGACAAATATAGGAATGTTCCCTTTTTGTATATTTCTTTACAAAAAACAAATAATTAGGGGTCCACTGGAACACTTGGCATTTCAATTACTCAGTTATGCCCAAAAAGAAAAGCAAAAAACAAATGGTAGACAGAAGAAAGGATGGAAGTTGTAACGGCATGAAGACTTGGTCATACCAGAGCTAGAAGGGCCACATTGTCTGATTTTTCTTCTATCTGCTAAAGATTTCTCTTCAAACTGCACACGGCCTTCATGTAATATGTCAAGGTAGATGTATATGTTGATTTGTATGATAAGTTTCAGATCTTCACACTCATCCACAGAAAATGGCCTGCCACTCTTATATAAGAACTTGGCATGATATATTCAATAGATTCAAAATCGAATGGCATATCAACGCTCCAAATTTGTGGGGGTGCAGGATATTCTATCACCATACATGTGCAAACTGCAAATTATATCTTGGGTGGTAATCTTACTACAACTGATCGATTTTATTTATCTATGAATATGCTAGATGTCCATGAGCATACGTACCTGCTTGAGTATGGTGCTTGCCCCTGACGCAACAAAAAAGGTTATGGGTTGTTCTTTGTTCCAGGTAGTCAGGGGTGGCTTGATTTACCATGTTAACAGCATCACTGTCAGATTGATGGGCTGTTTTGGTTGGGTGTTGACAATGTTAGAACAGGACTAAGAAGCTTCACTATAGGCTGGTGAGACATGCAGACAAATTCAAAGCTGGTTAGTTACCATCCTAAAAATTACAACACCATCCACACAAGAAGAACCCCAGGGTTATCTTATCCCAGATATTTCCTTTAACAGTTTTTTGGCCTTCCTCTTGGCCGGTAAGTCCCATCAGCGTTCACCCAAAAGTGAGGTTTCTCAGCACGTTGGACTCCTGCCAATTGAAACCAAACATTTCTATTTAACATTTAAAAAAAACAGATAGCAACATATGTCAAGATCCAGTAGTACAGGGATGAAATCAGATAACTACATTTAATATTA